TAGAATTAATTATTCAATAAAATAGTTTAAATCGCCACCTAATCATCAGCTGGACTTTTCCAAATTGTTTAAAGGCCTAGTACTCGTGTGTGGAAATATTTGACTCTGGAAAAGTGATAAAGAATTATATCAAATCATTTGTTCATATAAAATAGAAATAATGTTTGGTATTCCTAACTGACCTAAAACACAACTTTAACCTGATTCACTCTCAGACTATGAAGAGAAAAAGGGTTATTTGTCTTCTTAAACAGAATGCACCAATTTCAACCATCATGTTGCTCGGTGATCAGAGGTCATGATCAGCAGAGCGGTAGCCTCTGTGAGCTCCATTAAAAAAGTCAGAGTGGCTTGATTCCTCTGTACAGCAGACTGAGCTAATTTAACTTTGCAAAAACATCTAAAGGCAAGGACTAGAAAATAAAGCGATTTCTCTTTTTAGGTACAACATTAGCATGCACTGTACTTTCATGTGTTCCAGCCTTGAAATTTTCCAGAAGCGTCCCTGAGGCTGTGAGAAAAATGAAACTGTCAGGCTGGACATTGTGCAGGCTTCTAGATGCCAATCACAAATGCCAGATCACCAATCTATCATGCAGTGTCTTAAAGTATTGCTAATTCATCTTACATTTTCTAAATACTGTACTATGTTACAGCCTCAAACCTCAATATTCTCCTGTTGGATTGTATCTGATTGAACTACATAAAATACTATATCATTGAAATGTGGAAACATTGTTAACTTAAATTTACTCAGATACCATTATTGAATCGAAAGCAACCAGTTCCCTTCTGAAATGACCTGATAAACAACAGTTTATATCAGTCTGTGGTTAATAAAGAATGACCAGGCTTGAAAAGGAGAGATTTAATCGCAGAGCACCCACTGTAGCGTTGTGCATGTATGCAAAGCACTATTCATGGTGGAAAAACTGACACAGCAGGTCACTCTGAACTCTGCATCTCCATGCTGAACCATGGAGGTGGCAGGAGACCAATGTTATGGTTGCCCTGGACACAACCACTGAAACAAGTACATCAAAGTGTGGCAAGATCTTAATAAAAACAAATGCTAACTTTATCAGATCTTGTTGCAAATGTCTGTGGAAGGTACTAACATTTACAAACTGTGATATGTCAATTTAAAATGTTATGATTTAAGCCCAAATAAAATATTAACATCTGAGTTGTTGGGGCTGATTGAGCTATCTGATTAGAGTTTTTCTTCAATTTCATGCTGCAGATTAGCCTGATAAACCAGACTAAATGTGAGATTAAATGTGTGATTTAGTCTGGTCCCGATGAATGAGACATTGGAAGATTGTTGATGAGAACAACCCGTTGTTTTTCAAACCATGTCTGTGCCTATTGGCCAACGCTGTGACGTAGTAAGCGCGACAGAAAGCTGGTGGGGGAGTCCTTCATAAAAATTAATGAGTGTAGAGCCTCTTCCTGCTCACATTTCAACAAAAACCCCAAGTCTAATCCTTCCAAAACTGATTCCAAGGCTGAGTCAAATGAGAACTGTTCAATAGTTGTTGCCATCTTCCTTGTGCTTTCTTTAACGTTGTGCAGCTTTGTCGTCACGCCCTCAAACCCCCGCCCGCTTTGCATCCTAAAGTTCAAAACGCATCTCTGCGTTGTGATTGTCCCGCCAGTTCTAGGGCCTGAGGCATTGATCGAGGCTAGACCACTTGCAGGCAAAAATAATTTTGGCCACTGGCGGATGGGGCCAGTTTACTATGCTAACTGCAGATAGTTTATTCTGTTTGTCTCCCTTAAGTTGCAGCGACCTGCTTTCTTAGCAACATCAACAGCTGTCAGCTTTCTAAGGGTTACCTGTGTTTGAGCAATTTGTATTTTGGACAGATCTCCTATTAGATTAATTCAATGCCACATTCTTTAAAAGTGGAATATGATCCACTTTGTGTCAAATTTTGTTATAATTTTCACACAGCTCAGGCTGCTCAGTGACTCTGTGGTTCCTCTCAGATCTGCAGGTTTAGTAACTTTTAACCCATCCAGCAACAATTGTAAGATAATTTTTAAACCTGTTTTGGTCAAACGGTTTTTGTTGTTGTTTTTCTATGCAAGTCTATAATATATTGATAATTAACCTGAGGACTTGAAACT